TGCACACAACAAAATAATTGCATTTAAAGCTGGCTATCTCTCGGTTGAATGTGGCTGTACAAACTAAAACACCACCTTGTCTTGTGTCGTAGTCACCAATATAATACTGAAATCGCTCTGACGAAGGGCTAACGCTCGACACGTCAGCTTTTTTACCCTTTACGGTGGCTAATTTACGTTTTCAACCCAGTTGTTAACACTAAATTACCCGCTAATACTGAAAGCTTTTAGATGATGTTCAAAACGGAATCTGTTGAAAAAACAAAAGTGCTTTTAGGGTGAAACTAGTTAGGCCGCTCTCTAAAACAATTTTTTCGAAAATTAGTTAAGATGATAAAAAACTCTCCAATATTTTATTAATAATTCATCAATGCTCTGAACAGCAACATCCGGGTGCTGCATTGACCAAACAAACAGGAGAAAGTTGCTTTCACAATCGAATTAAATTTACATAAAAAAGAATCAAATGGGTTTTGTCTTAAATTGTAGGTTCTCTAAGAAAACTCTCTGTCATCATGAATGCGACATTAACTGCAATTTCAGTCTTTGCTGAACAGTTAAGAAGCCGACCAACGAACATTCAAGTCACAGAATCGTTTTTCTTGTTGCTGATCAACTTAGTCTCCTTCTTTGGGAACCTACTGCTCGGGATAGTGGTCATTAAAAACCCGACTCTTCGCCGAACGGTTCCTAGTATGTACATCATAACTCTGGCCCTTTCAGACTTTTTGAACTCTTGTCTGGGAATCCCATTTTCAATTGCTTCTCTAATTGTTGGAAGATGGCCGTTCAATGACTTCGTCTGTCAGCTGCAAGGATTCTGGATTCTTCTCTTGTCAGCGGTGTCATTACAAACTTTGGCCGTCACTGCTGTAAACAGATGTTTCCGAGTGGTCCGCTCCCGTACCTTGCATCAGAAACTCTTTAACAAGAAGACAACAAAACTGACGATCGCTGTTCTATGGATCCTGGCTCTGTTTGCTCCTCTTCCATATGTTGCTGCTGGTCATAAATTTTTCTTTCACACTGGAAAAGTTTTCTGTGCGCACGATTTTGAAAGTTTGCATAGAGGGTATGGAGCTTATTTGGTGGTATTTTACGTAGCCATTCCTTTGATAATCATCGTGGTTTGTTACACCAAAGTATTTATAACGGTTCGGAAGCATAACCTAAACTTCCGTTCAAGACTTCGCTCCGTCAGACATGAAGCCGCAAATTTATCCCAAAACAGCCGCTTATCAGTGGATGAAGTAAACGTTACATATATTCTCTTAGCCATTGTTGTAGGTTTTCTCACTTGCTGGATCCCTGTTTTAGTAATAGATCTCATCGACTTTGTGAACGCAGAGTGGAAACTTAAAAGACAAGTGTATGTAAGTTATACTTGTTTCGGTTGGGCCAGTACTGCACTTAACCCCATCATATATGGCATCATGAATCGTACCTTCCGCGCAGAGTGCCTGAGAATATTCACGCCCTTGAAGA